AGAAACTAAAACCGAAGTAGGGTCGGCATTATTATTATCCCCTCGGCCTATCTCCTTAATCCCCTCTTCGTTAGCATTATCGATAGTCTCCTAGCTCTCGTAGGTTACTAATTCGCCTTCTACTAACTCCTAGGCCCCTAAAAATTTAGGAAGGAACTATAGGGAAGAGACGTCGATATAGTCCTCTCGCCCCTATTTACGTCGGAGGGCTATAAGGTCTTTTATAAAGGTAGTATCGTTAGGAATCCGGCTCTAGAATAGGTTAGTAGGCAAACCGTATGCTAGAAGCTCCCCTATAGATACGTTAGACTTAAGGTCTAGGAACTATAAAGCCTAGAAGAGAGCATTTGCCTTTATATCGTAAGAGTTAGTAGGCCCGGCACTATACTTCTTTATATACCTATTAAAGCGAAAGCTCTTTAGGTCGGCTAACTTTCGTTTATAGGCCGGCGGGTTAGCTAGGCCTAGGGTACTACTAAGGTCGGTAGTAGTATCCTCTATATCGATATCCGGAGTCTCTAGGACCTCTAAAGAGGCTATACTAGCTCGGGTTACACGGTCTTCGGCTGTCTAGAGTGTCTTAGTCTTAGCGACTAATTCTCGCTGTTTCTTAGCCTTATTAGCTACCTGCTTCTTAAGTATCCTAGTAGGGGCTGCCGCACTAGGGCGGGTAGGGTTCTACGGGCTCTTACCCTTGCCCTAGGACTAGGTTTAGGACGACTGAGTTTGGGACCTTATAGCAGCGTAGACATCTATACTATTCTTAGTAACCGCGTAAACATTAGTAACTGCGTCCGGGTCCTAAGATACAAAGTTGACTTTAATAGGCTTAGTAGTACCGTTACTACTCCGCTCCTTAACCTGTTTTGCCCTAACCTTCTAAGTCTCTCGTTTAGCAATAGCGGCGAGGGTACTGTTCTTAGTGTCCTTAAACTCGATCTTACTACTATACTTCTTCTCTAGAAGACTCCTAAGTTAAGGCAGCTTCGGGGCTCTACGATCCTACTCGAAGTTAATCTTATCGCTAGTATCGGTATAGTAGAACCGACTATTTACTTATATAACGAGCTTCCTCTTAAGAAGCTCCTTCTAGATAGGGCAGTCTAATTGAATATATTTAAAACCGCCGTATATCTAGCACTTGCTATCCAAGTTCGAATAGATCTTCCGTATAGCGTAGACGTTAACTAAAGGGGCCTTAGGGTAGTTAGGATCGGAGACCTAGTAGACTAGTAGTATATCCTTTAGTATACTAGTATTAAGGACCTCCCTAACTCGCTATAGTGCTTTCGTATTAAGGTTGAGCTAGGCTAGGGATTTAGCTAAGTCCGTAACGTCCTAAGAATACTTAGTAATAGTAGGAGTTACGGTACTAGGACTACTTTGCGATTTAGGAAGAAACTTAGGCCCTCTAGTTCCCGAGGTATCGTTCCTTACCTAGGCTAGGTTATTCCTATCCTCGCCGTAAATAAACTTCTTCGCATCGGCGGAGCTGTTAATGTCGTCCTTAATAGCCTCTAGAACCTCTTTATACTTCCTAAAGGTCTCGGGATTAGCTTCGCTAAGCTTATAGCGACGGAAGACACGCTTAGCCGTAGACTACGGCAACCCTTTAAGGAGCAGCCTCGTTCTCTAAGAATTCTCGAAGTCCTACTAGTCGATACTGTCCGCTAACTTAACAAACTCGCGGACGTACTCCTTTAGGTCGTTATCTTTGGTGCGCCTCTCTATATAGAGGTTCTTAAGCTACGTACGACTACCTTTAATACGACGGCTATCGCGATCCCGATACTCCCTTATAAAGGCCTGCTTAAAGACCTCCTAGTCGGCATTAGACTTGTCGTCCTTTTCTAGGTAGCTAACTAGGGTTCTAAGGGTTCGGTAAAGCTTAGTAATAGTAGTCCTCGTAAGGGACCGGACCTTATACTAGTCCGACTCCTCTTCGAGTCTATACTCGGCTAAGTTGTCCTTAAAGCGTTCTACGTGCGCCGTAGCGTTCTACCCTTCGAACAAAGGGTTCCTACTGCTTCCTAGCTCTAGCGGGCGACGCCTGTTCTAACGGAGAAGGTTAGTTTGCCCTTAAATTATCTTTATAACGATATTATAGAGAGCCTCGGGCGTAGAAGGCTCGATAGCCCCTAGGTCGACGGCGCTTATAACAACTAGTCGTCGCCTAATTTCTTCGTTAATAGGGTCCGGTAGGTTATTAGATTCCGAAGATTCCGCTAATTCGTAATACTCGCTTTCGCTAGAGCTTATTCGATTGTTATAAAGTAGTTAAAATGAAATGCTATAGGAAAGTGTTTTTAGTATATATTGTAGGTTTGGTTCGATATTGCTATACGAGAAAATAGTATACTAGGCTGTTTTTACTCTAATGTTACCCCTAGGGTAGTATTAGAGTTTAGCCTCCTAGGGGTCGCCTAGATACCCCTAGGAGCTTTAATTTAGTAAATTTAGATAAAAGCCGCTCGGAGGAAGGAACTGCAATCTCTATTCACACCTAGATCCTAGAAACTAGCTACTTTACTAACTATCGTTATCTCCTTTAGCTAGGCGGAGGGGGCGGGGACCTTCTTTTTCTAGTAGAAGGCTAAGTACTATCCGAACGAGGCAGCGAATCCCGAAGTAATCTACCCGGTTAATAGGGGAACTGTCTAGGCATCCGACCTGTAATCTAGAAATTGCTATCGTATAGATAGTCTTAGCAAACCAAGTAAGGCCGATAGGTAATTAATCTATCTCCTCCTTAGGCGGGGCTTATCTCGAGCAAGCGGTGCTAAATGGGTCTTCGACCCGGAGCCGAGTCCTTAGAAGCTAGCTATAGTTATAGACTAGGCCCTAAGCTGTAATAGTCCTAAGGGTTTGCAGCTTTTCGGGGTTAAAGCGATGCCCTCGTTAAGAGGTTTCTCTGCTTGTCGTAACGGCCCCTTAAGATACTTTAGTATCGTCCGTATCGTAGGCTCTTATCGTGCCCTCGCTTCGGTTATAGCTATTCGTGCCTAGAGACCACCTTTAATATACCCGAACCTGTTAGATATAAAGAGATAGCCCTACCTTCGGCTCTAATAAAGGACGGAAACTAATACTACTACTACTACTTATAGCAATAGTATAGGCTACCGAGGGTAACATAACCCATAGCAATATAGGCAGCTATATTTAGTAAGATAGGATAACGAGACTGTCGCTTAGGCTAATAACTAGAGCCCTACAATATAGGCATTGTAGAAGTGTAATATAAACAATGTGCTATACGAGGTTAATAATCTGTCTACTCTGTAGAAGGAGGCCTCTTATATAGGCTTAAAACTGCCCTATAGGTGTGGGGCCGGTTACCAGCCAATAGTACCCTAAACGATTCTAAAATTATTCCGGAAATATCTTTTACCGGATTGTCCGCCCGAGCGACCTAGACCGCTTACTAAGGGCGATAGGGTTAGGGATAAGTTTTAAAACCTTAATTTTAGTATACTATTAGAGCACTTATACTATTCTCCCTAATAGAAACTTACTATCTAAGTACCCTAACCGATTCTAAAATTATTCCGGAAACATCTTTTACCGGATTGTCCGCCCGAGCGACCTAGACGGCTTAATAAGGGCGATAGGGTTAGGGATAGATTTAGAAACTATAATCGAGTATACTATTAGAGCTATCCTATTATTTTACTTACTAGTAACCTACGATCTAGGCCTAGCAAGTCGATTCTAAAATTATTCTAGAAACATCTTTTACCGGATTGTCTGCCCGAGCGACCTAGACCCTAGAGCCAAATATTCTAGTATTACAAATTACAATGTTCGCGTATATAGCGTAGGCGCGGCCGTGCGTTACTTAAATCTTAAATAGGGACATCAAAATATTTATATTAGAATGTTTAAGGTTCTAGCTAGTATTAGCTAGTTTTCTCGACTATTCTAGGTCGTATTAGATTCTATTAGGTTGAATTTATATAAAAAGTATAAATAAGTATAAGGCTTACGTAGATATCGGGGGTATTACGGCCGATATAGTATTTAGAGTTCTAGAAGCCGACTCGGGGTACTACGCGTTCTAGACCCTAGAGCTAAACATTCTAGTATTACAATGTTCGCGTATATAGCGTAGGCGCGGCCGTACGTTACTTAAATCTTAAACAGGGACATTAAAATATTTGCATTAGAATATTTGAGGTTCTAGCTAGTATTAGCTAGTTTTCTCGACTATTCTAGGTCGTATTAGATTCTATTAGGTCGAATTTATATAAAAAGTATAAATAAGTATAAGCCTTACGTAGATATCGGGGGTATTACGGCCGATATAGTATTTAGAGTTCTAGAAGCCGACTCGGGGTACTACGCGTTCTACTACGACCTAGGAGTATTATACTAGTAATACTAAGGTTCTAAGTACCCTAGTACTATATTTAGTACTTAGCTTTTATCTAAATTAGCTAGGGGTTCTAAGTAATTCGATTAAAATCTCTAGGTAAAGAAATGAAGGCTCTCGGAGACGATAGTATTATTTCTACGTTCTAAGTACGCAATCGGGTAGTAGGGTATAGTTCTACTACTAGATCTAGTACTAAGTGCCTATAGAAATAAGTCGGAAATTCTAGGATATTAGTCCTTACTATCTAGTAAGGTTAATAGATAGGGTAGGACCGGAGAGATTTATTTAAAGTATCTACGATATTAGAACGGCGGAATTAGTCGTATAGGGTTAAGGCTAAGTACTAAAAGTTTAATCTAGTATACTACTAGGGCACTTATACTATTTTCCTTAATAGAAACTTACTATCTAAGTACCCTAAACGATTCTAAAATTATTCCGGAAATATCTTTTACCGGATTGTCCGCCCGAGCGACCTAGACCGCTTACTAAGGGCGATAGGGTTAGGGATAAGTTTTAAAACCTTAATTTTAGTATACTATTAGAGCACTTATACTATTCTCCCTAATAGAATCTTACTATCTAAGTACCCTAACCGATTCTAAAATTATTCCGGAAACATCTTTTACCGGATTGTCCGCGTTCGTGGCATCATTCTCGCCTTCGCTGCGGTGGTTTGCGGTTCCGCTTGCGTGCTTGGTGCGACTACTTCCATGTATGTGCTGCAGATGTGACGTCCGTTGATTCCATTAGCAATGGTGATTGCTGCGCGCGGTGGCACTTCTGTCCAATCCTGTGTGTGCGAGTCAGCAACCCTTTTTACTCCCTGATAGATCATTTGGTATCATCCGCCGTCGACATCCGCAGCTTATGAGTGTATGGACCTTAGATTCCTTGTCAGCTACAAAGTGGTTCAGCCTCTCTGACTCCGACTCGTACTACAGAAATGATGCGTCAAGTGCATTCTTCGGCAAGTGGACCCAAATTTTGAGATCGATTGCACTAAGCAGAAGGACTTGCTCGGTAAGCTCTCACTAGTGCTGGTTGACATGTTCGGAAGCGAGCGTTATGCCGGTATGATTGCGCTGTTGCGTTCCTTGGGGAAAATCTGTGGCCGTTCAAGAGTATGAGCCTTTGAATTGGGCATGCGCCTACATGTTTCGCAATATGTATCATTGGGTGTCGGCTACAGGAATGAGAATAGCTTGAGCAGGACATGATTCGACGGGGAGTTGTAGGTGGCACCGCTCTTCATCGTCGCTAGGGCCAGGATCAGCAGAGCCAATCGAGCGCAACTTCCTCAGGGCCATATTCGCAGGTGGTTGCAATAGTTTCAGTGTATCTGAAGTCATTGACCTGTGTACTCGACTTGCGACAGCTTGTGGCGATGAGCCTGAGATTCCATTGTCAAGAACCAAAAAGCAGTATCTCGCGAGGGGGTAGTTCCCAGCAGCTCTTTGTGTGCTCAACTGCAGGAAGCATGAGCCAACTACGCAGAGCGACTATCACTCAAAGGGGCTGTCGGTGTTGTTTGTCGTGGTTCAAGCGAACAATGCACTAATGCTATACTGCAGTGTACCATCGTTTCGGGGCTGTTCTTGGCGGAATCATTTGTGGTGCTTGCTGTCGAAGCAGCGCAACTGCTTTCAACTCGGGGTATAGGTAGTTCTAGCCTCAGAGTTGCGTCACATATCTGACGACATTTTGTCAATCTAGTCTGATGGCAAATGATGCGAAGATGTGATTGCAAAATAGTCGAATTTGGCTCCAGTGGCGACTGCTTGTTCCCGAAGACTTCATTTGATACAGGAAGAGTATCGGATGATGAGCATGAGACCTTGTCATGCAGCCCGAGCTCCAATCCCGCTGCCGCGTTCGAGTGATGTTGCACAGAGGCATTGCCGGTAACTCTCATAGGCGGATTCTTCGACGACGTGGAGCTCCAGCGTGTAAAGGCTAGGACCACGACATCAAGCATATATCGCCGGCATACCGTAAGAGAGCAAGCGAAAAGCTCGGTTGAAATGAAGTTGAAAAGCCTACCGACTTAGAATGCCCACGCACGGGCAATCAATCGAGGCCAGAGAATGCATCAACGTCAGCAGCGTCAAATTTGCTGCCCAATCGCTCTAAAGTCGCATCCTCGCTGTACCATGTATCTGCTGTGGTAGCTCGCCATGCTGGCATCATCTCACCTGGAAAGCGGATAAGTCATGTGTTCTGTAGCGTGATCGAGCGAGCCGACACTATCCTCAAAGCCAACCCCGAAGTCAATGCCTGCCCATTGTCGCAATGTTGACAGCAAAAGGGCCGCTCATGATGACCGCCTTGGCTCATTCAACAAGTCCCACGTAGAGATGCTGGGCGCCCTGGTTTGGTGGCACCTCCATGCCAATTGCGCACCTGCAGTGGCGTCCCGACCCAGTCGTACCCTGCTACTGGTATCTCTTTTATTTCACGGCACGGAACAGTAAAGTATACAGTGTCTGAGCTATAGCAAGGCTGGAGCGGTCGCAGCACGGAACCCCGAGTCTTGATGTTGCATTTGTACCTCCTTCTGCTCGACTTCTGCGCTCCCATCTGCGCATAACGGTGGTGGTCATGGTCATGGTCGGTGCCGAAGATGGAGCTCAATATGGTGGCTGCGATCATTGCGCAGTGTTGGCCGCATCGTCTTCGAACTCAAGATTATCATCTTGCCCGGATGTTTCGAAGCCAATGTGCCCCCCAATTGGCGCAGTGCGGGGTGTAGCGTAGTAAGATCGTGAAGGCAGGCGTGAGCAGTGGCATTCCGCAGTTTCGATCGAGGTGTATATCGCATCAAGGTGTGTTGCGGGACCAAAGAATAGAGCCTGCTTGTCAGCGACGTCATCGCGTCTGCCAAGGCGGCTCTCTTTTTCGCCTGGCTGGCAAGGGTTCCCCACGTTCTGGCAAGGGTTCCCCACGTTCTGGCAAGGGTTCCCCACGTTCTGGCACCCTCCTACCAAATCTTGCCCTGGAGACTACTACTATATAAGCCGAGCCAGAGTGACCTCATCGAGCCCCAGCACTTTGATGAGACTTTGATACAGCAATATCTTCACTCACTCTACACAACGCCTCGAGGACAAACGATGTTCTTGTTCTTTCCATACTACCACACTTTTCGTGCATCCGTGGGAATTCATACCCTCTGCGTTGCTCAGCTCAGTCACTGGTCACCCCGGGATGGACACGACAGTGACAAGCCACAATTCACGACAATGATGGTGCGGCAGATGATGACCGCTGTTCTCTGGCGTACACTCGAATACCTGCTGCCATGAATGCAATTCACGTTTGAAACCTCGACCCAACGAGGAATTTTCCGGAATGGCTCCCTGCAAACAGAGACTAAGATGATGATTTGATGCATAAGCTCACGAAGCAAGCTTGCTCTCCTCTCGCTGCTTGTCGAATGTGCTGCCAACGAGATACCTTGTCTTGGATTGAGCTGCATCCCTTTCAGGATGACTGGTGGACTTGCGGTTATGGCTGCCCGACGCCGGGCTTATCATCTCGAACGGCATCGAGTGAACAATCAATTTCGCAACGTTCCTTGCAACATCCCAGCTGGATCTCTCTCAACGCAGACATGAAGATATGGGACAATCAATTCTCGATAGGATGAGATGCCGATGCAGTCGAAGGACAGGAGTGATGACTTCGAAACAGCATCACTTCAGACAGATCCGGCATTGCAGAGGCACACCGACATCTGCGCTTGCTCACGTTCTCCACTGCTCAAAGCTGCTGAAACACGGCCAAGAAGGCGCTGGACGATGACAGTTGAAGCCTCATATACAGCAGAAGAGGCAAGATGAGCCCCACCCTCGCCGACTCCGCGCGCGATATACAACCAGAAGAGACCGAATACGAAGCCAAGCAGGGTCAGGACTTTGCTAGTCTTGCCAAATGGCACAGATTCTCAACATTCGATTCTGTTCGGTAGCGGAACGCTTTACCCTTACATCCTTGGCTCGATCCGTCCGCATTGCGCTTCATCGCCGCTGTCTTCTGGCACAGAGTCGAGATTTCAAGACTTCGTCTTCCATTCATATGTTCATTTAATTCCATCTCCTTCGCTCCAGGGCCGCGTTTGCTGTCGCCGGCACGCCACATCTTGCATTGATGGGTGCTTCAATGCGCAAGCCTAGAAGGAGTGGTTGACTTGGAGGGAAAGCTACTCTTTTGCAAGTGTAGACAAGACAGAAGATATGATTGAAAGCAGCTAATGTCTGGATAGACTTCGGCGCAAGCGACGAGGAGTTTTCAGAACTTCAAATGGCTGAGTAGCGGCATGCCAGCGAAAAGCAGCTGCCGTAATGTCGGCATCTTAGTGGATCTTCCAGCTTGCGTACGAGCTTGAGAACGCCAGTGTTGGCATCTGTGGCTGCGCCACATCACTACTTGGCGCTTACGTACTGAGAATCATCTCAGCCAGCGTGAGCGTTGGAGTAGGCAGATGGCGGGAAGCCAACAATACAGCTTTGGAAACCTTCTGAAGTTCCCCGAATTTCGTCAATTCCATCCAGTGACACTGCATTAGCAATAGACGACGGCAAACGCTAGCAAGGCTCATGTACTGGTCTTTCGATACGACTTCCGGTGTGCTCCTAGAGATGAATGCCAAAAAGGATGCCACTGCCACCACGTTGGATCTTGCATCGTGCCGATGGCTTCTGGCGACAGACTTCGAGCGAGGGCAGATACGCATACCTTACGTTGTCATATCACGACAGTGATGTTCATGTCTCACGATTGCCACTACTAGGTTGCAATAGCTCGATCATGACTTCACTGGCGCTTGACGAGATTACGAAGAGAGACATGGCCAGACTATTCGATTGGCCGATGAACAATAAGCACGAGCACTTGGGTCGACGAGTACCAAATCGCGAGTCTCTATGACTCACGGGCTCTAGCAAAAGGATGCGGATGGTCATCGATAACATCTGGGCTCTTGGTGTGAAGATTGGTAGCTTCGACAGATGGTACAGAAGTCAAGCGCCTTGGACAAGATCACTACCATGATCAAGTGCCCTCGCCTATCAGGCCTTGTACTGTCGGAGCGCAAATCAATTCCCAGCCTTGTTCTCGTCGAGCGGAGGGGACCGTGGATGAGGATTATCTCATTTAGCTTGCGATTCTCGATGCGAATCGACAACACCAAAGAAACATGCGCCACTGGATCTTGATACTATTCTCTATCGGAGCTTCAGAGGTTACACGCTCACATCCTTATACAAATTGCGAACGCACTCGATCTGACCCTCTTCGAAGCACACCCACTATCCGGTCAATATTCGAGCAGCAGATATATGTCGAGCAGCATTTATGGCAATGAACTATATTCAACACGCGCAGATTGTTCTCGGCCAACTTCGTCATTTCTACCCCCTTCTCGGAGCATTCAAACCGAGGCAACGTCCAAAGAAGTGGAGTAATGGCAGCACATCAATGTTTGGTCTGCTTGAGCACATGCTGCTGCCTTATCCTCAAGGGAGAACTGGCATAAAGGCAGATTACTGACATCAAGCACAGTGACGCAGCGCATCAGTGCGGGTCAATCGCATGATCATACTATCGACACTATGCCTCAAAGCGGTCAGAATTTACATAGTCGGACATACCTGGGCCTAATTCACCATGTACGTTCCTCCTCCATCCGTGGTCGTCCCGTCCGATCCATCAACTCGATCCTACCCTACTTTGACGCATCAGTCGCTTGCTTACAGCTCATCGTGGCCTTACTCCATTTTCAACGAAGTCCATGTTGTCGCAATGCTTAATATGGCAGGGTTTGGAGAATTTGGACTTCTCACCAGCTTCTGGAACTCTTTCGGATAAGTCTGACGATACGCATACCTGAGCCTTTCCCTCCGAGCGTGCCAAAGACAAGCAAACATCTTCCGGTATAGCTTTGAGCGACTCCAAGTCGACACCAGCACCCGAGTTTCAATGCGTCCTTGCCTCCTTTGACTGCGTCTATACCACATCAGACACACCTGCTCAGGCGGCAGAGCCGATGATGTGCCACTCCACAGCAGTCATGGAGAGCAGGCGCGGGATCGCTGTGGCAGCTCTTGAACTAGCCTATTTCGCTCGCCCTCGCATCTGGCGTTTCATCCTCCTCCCAACTTGTTACCGCACCAGAAGAAGACAAAGTTCCTTGTGAATGGTATCACGACCATCTCATATCTCGTCTACTTTGTCCAGTCGTCATAGACGCTTGCATGTGCTGCTCCGCCCTTCATTTCTCAAGTCTAAGCTCTCTCCCTCTATCGCGCAACGTTCTTGCTCTCTCGATAACACCCTCGTGCTGCGTCTGATGCGACTTTGGCTTGATCACAAGTCTCCGCCAGTTCAAGCAAAAGAAGGCAAAGCGAAAGAAGGCAATCAACCTAGGACTCCTCCTACACATAGTCAGCCTCGGACTTTGTAGCGGCCTACAGCATCTTTCAGCATTCTTCAGTGATTTTCGAGTCGGTTACACCGAATCTATCGAGGCAAGGACGACACAAATCTGAAGGCTGCTGAAGTCTGCTTCACAAAGCATTCTAGAAATCTATAAAACTCCCCGAAAGTCAGCATTCGACAGCAAGCATTCGTTGTCAATGCTTTGAGGGAGCTAACGACATGCTCAAAAGGCATGCGCTTTTACGAAGACAGTGCGAGGTGCTGAACACCAGATGTCCGGAAGGAGGTTCAGATAGGTGATGAAGTTCATCTGCGTCGAATAGCTAGACCGATTCCTAAGGCGCGGTGATACTCAGCAGCTTTAAATGCAGATCGATGACCAGAAACCTAAGCGTCGAAGACTTCTATAGCTGAAGGGTGAGAGGCAGAATCGCGAGCAACGGAAAGTCGCACGCTCATATCGATTCGTCGACCGATCGGCTTCTCCTATGCGTTGCGAGGACGTTTAAAAATTCTGAGCCCACGCCAAGACCGCGCTCAACCTTGCATTCATACATGCATGCTAAGAAATTCGATAATGAGCCTGGACGGCGGTTTCACTACCCCAATATGTAAGAACAGCGAGCCGTGCTTAGGCGGCTGGAGATGTGTTAGCTAGTCAGACGTCGACTTCAATACCCGCTTAATCGAAAGCTCCTAGCCGCTCCTCCAAGCTACTCGATATTAGATCGGAGACGTCCTACTCTCCTATATATAACGTAAATCCCCAATTCCGGGAGCGGTGCTCTAGGTCCTCTATCGGCTAGAGGAGTCGACCGGTTGTCCTATCCTAGGGGAATAACAATCAATTATCAGATCTTTAGCAAACTCCCCGTTCGTATACGACTAAACTAAGACTGACTTAAGAGTATAGAATAGGATTACTAAGCGCTTTGCTTAACACGGGGTTAACTAGGTAGTGTATAGTTGTTAATTGTTGATTAATTACAATTATATAGCGAATATTACAATTACAACTAATTGTAAGTAATTAACTATATAATTAAATTATACAATTAGTGCTAGTAGTCGTTATAGTTAAGAAGGAGGTGTATTTATATGCTCTTAGCGTAGTCAACGATTAACACACTATATCTAGCCGCTAGGTCGTTGTCTTCCGCCTCTTCTAATAATGCTAGCTCTTGTAATAGTATATCTATAACGAGGCCTGTTCTTAGCTAATTCTTTAAACACTCACTTATCCGAATATAGTTACTACTAAGTTGTAAGCGCTCCTATAATATAGTGCGGCGGCTCTAACTAAAGGTCCGTTCTAACTCGGCTAATATACTAAAGGCTAACAATATATTAATAGCTAGTTGTGCGAGCGCTTAGTTTGAAGGTCGTTATTATAGCTACTACTTAATGGCGGTTATATAGACTAGCCTGTTTTTGCCATCCTTGCCTATAATAGGCAATATAGTAGGTGTCGCTTAAATAAAGGTCTCGAAGGGGTCTTCGTTAGTAGCAACTAGGTTAGTTTGAGACTTAATTTGCTATCGCTCGAGAGCAGTAAGACCTTCTAAATTGCCTTTAGAAGTAGACGGCTAAGGGCTTCTATAGCGGCTATTATAGTCTTTCTATAGTAACCTCCTAAGGTCTAATAAGATCTCAATGTCTACCTCCGAGCGCTTCTTAAGCTAGGCAAGTCGACGAGTTAGATATAGAAGTACTGCTATTATATAGACGGCTGTCTGTTAGTTAAGACTATAGTACTTGTTAAATAGCTGTCTTGCAAGGCGGATTAAGCGGACAAGAGGCTTACGCCGTACGTTGTATTCGGCTAATTAAGTAAGATAGCTTCTTATATATTCTATAGCTTCTTAATACATATCTAGTGTAATAGTATAGCCTTGTAGCTTGAGAGTGACCTCCTTAAAGGGCACAAGGAAGTTATAAGTATACTATAGAACCGAGTACTCGTCGCTAGTAAGCTAAGCCTCTCGTAGATGCGGCATCCTATCGAAGAAGCTGTTTAGAATTAGCCTTGTTTAAAGGGCTTCTTCTATTATAAGAAGCTAACTATTCTAGCGCGTCTCTCCTAGAATCTTAGGTATTAAATAAGGCAGTTAAGGCCACGATTTATATACCTCCTTAAAGACGTTAAAGTTGTCGTTCGTCCGTAATAGCTTAGCGAGTGCGAATAGCCGTTATAATAGCCCTTGTTTAGCAAAGGAGTCTACGTCTATATCTAACTACCTAGAAATAGACATAGTATCGCTGTCCTCTATTACTGTCTAGTTAAACTCTTTACTCTTAGTAGACTCCTTATCCTTAGCAAACATAAAGGCTTGTATTATCCGATTGATAATATAGCTAATATAGCGGAGTTGACGGTCCTTCTAGTAGTTAAAGCTAGCCTGTCGTATATAGCCCTCGATAGATTTATAGAGCGTGCTATTAGCAGAGGTATTGTTAGCAGTTAACTAGCCAATCTTGCTAGTTATACTAAAGACCTAGAAGCAAGGTATAATAAGCTAAGCGAGGAAGTTACCTATATATAAGCCGACCGGAAGTTGTAGCAAATCTAATAGTACTTAAACGAGCCTACCCTTCTCGTCTATATACTAGCAATTAATAGCTTAGAAGTGCTTCTTACTATATTGAGCCTTCTATATATTAGTACTAAAATAGAGACAGCTTATAGTACTAAAAAGGCGCTGTTTAACTCGTTCTCGCTAGCTCTCGAAGTTATAAAGAATATAGGCATATAGCGACGTATACGAGCGTAGAAGTGCGTAGTCGGCTTATAGATTAGCTATTAGAATAAGGTCTCTAAACTCCTTAGAAATAAGGGCGTTATAAGAGATACTAAGTCCTATAGCAAAGCGAGCGAGGGCATAGCAGAAGGCCTTCTTATCGATAGCGTTCTTAAGGATATTAATCGTCTTCTAAGCCTCTATATCCTCGTTCTTCCGCTAGACAGACAAGAAGTTAAGCTGTATCTGTTTCTTGCTATTGTCTTCCTTCTCTTTTATACGACTAACGATAATCTAATACTTATAGAATAGGTATTTAGCGGCGTTGCTAGATTATAACTAAAAGCGCTCTAGATCGTTGTCTAGACTCTAAACAGTGTCTGTAATAGAACACCTTATAGCGGCTATTCTTTAGTCTCTTAGGCTCCTTATCCTTTAGAGGCCGCGAATAAGACTATAACTCCGGATCGCGCCTATTGCTCGCTCTTTTCCTTTTTTCTAATAGGGTCGGGGTCGGTGTTGGCTATATAGATATTACTAAGGACGATAATAACTGTATAGGAAGGAATAATAGGTTAGGTATTAGTCGAGGTAGTAGTTGACTTAGTAGCGTAGGATTTGGTACCTCTCCGGCTTTATTATCTTCGAGGTCGCTAAGATCGCTAGAATCTTATGTAAATAGTATCCGTTATCTATCGTGCGTTTCCTATTGTGTTTCTTAGCTCTTACGGAAGTTTTCTAAGCGCCGCTATAAAGGCTTAGGGTTTTTACGTATCTCTACTATAGTAAGGAAATAGTAGAAGTTATAAAAGAATAGAGGTTTAGAGAATTTGAGTTTGATAGTGCTTACTAAGGTTCAAGGCGCGAGCCGAAGCCGCTCGGTTAGTAGACTCCGGAGGCTCCTATTAGGCTTTAAAGACCCTAAATAATGTAATTAATAGGAATAGGTAACTAGAACACCGACAAGTCCTGCTATTCTACTATTCTAATCCTTTATAATACCCTTAATACTACTACTACTACTACTAATATACTCCTTTCCGAGAGCTTCAATAGCTAAGGTATTACGAGCACGTTATATAGCGAGCTCGACCTTTAATTCGCACTCCTCGCCCGTACGTAGCATATACGACTAGCAAGTATAGGGGTCACTAAATCTAAAGTGCTTCGCTCTCTCTTCGACCCTCTATATACGCTTACGATAGACCTCGTAGCGACAGTCGGTTAGATATACGGCTATATAGTTGCCCTTCTTGCGGATATAATTATCGAAGGCTTCTTACTTCTTAGCAAAGACGTCGAGCTCGGCATTCTTCGTAATTAGTCGGTATTCTACGCCTTCGTATTCCTTTAGAATAAGGCGAGACTCTTATAATAACCCTTCTGTAACCGTCTACTAAGCCCCTATTTCCTTATACTATTAATCGAGCCAATCCTAACCTTTTGCCGTCTTCTTAGGGTTCTAACGAAGCCTCTTAGCAACCGGTTGTTCTTGTTCTTTATTAGAAGCGCTAGATATACTATTAGCGATAGACGACTTCTCGATAGGCGGCTTGTTATCTACTAATTGAGTCTGAGTCTATAGCGGCGGCAGCGGTAGTAGCGATAATAAGGTGTCTATAACCTCCGATTTAGGCTCGCTATCCGACAGCTATACGATTAGCTATAGCAGTCGCTAGTATTCGCTGTTTACCTACCTCGATTACTTCTATACGCTTCTAACCTATCGTTAGTACGAGATTGTATAAGGAAAGAGGTAGAAATACGATAATTTATAGGATCTATATACGCCGTAGTATTGCTATTCTCTCCCTAAGAAACACCGAGTAATTGACTAATTATAATTATAATTACATGCTTAGCAATTACATTTACAATTAATGTGATTGTAAGTGATTATATAATTAATCCAATTAACAATTAATAACTATAGGGTAGTGGTCTTAGTGCCGCATCCTAGTATACCGATTGTACTAGCTGGCTTGCTTTACTAGTAGCTACTCTTCCGCGAACATAAGTTCACAAGGGAATAGGTTTCATATCAAGCCCTAGCTAGGAGAAGATAGCGATCTCTTAACTTAAAATAACCTTAGTAGCGATGCCATTTTGGGCCCGGCCGGGCTTGTACCTATATCTGCCTTATAGGCAAAGAACAGAATTTAAGCATTAAGAGTTAATAAAATTTGTTGATTCTTATAGATCTCTTATACTCTCTTCTGCGGCTTACAACTAAATCTTGCTTCTCTCCGTCTACGTTAAGTCGACTTAGGCTTTCATTCCTCCTTTTATAGTCTCGAGAGGGAACAAATCTATTATAGATACATAGATAGGCTACTTGTAGCTGCTCTACGCTAATAAGCTCGGCCTTATCCTCCTTAGCCAAATCTACCTTACTTTCCTTAATATACGACTTCTTCGGCGCGGAATAGACGTCTAAGCGTAATAGTATCTTCGATCTATCGATTCTGCGATTATTAGGGCGCGCTAAGCCTAGCTATCGTATCGTTAATTAGCTACTACAATACGGCATCTATCGTTTAAGCGCTTAAATTGTGCTCTTTTATAAACTTCCTAAAGCTTCTAATATAGCGTTTTGAAGTTAATACAGATATCTTCGAGGAAGGCTAGCAACTGTTTTATTAAGTTGAGTATAATAGCATACTAGCATAGAGTTTGAATAATAATTATTTACTTAGTAGCGCCTATATTCAATATTCTAAATATAGCAACGGCCTGTATTTAAGTAAATATTTAATATTCAGTCTTCCGCGGAGGTTAATTTGCATATAATTAGCAAAAGGAAGGTAAATAGCAAAAAAATAGCAGTAGAATAGCAAAAGAAAAGGGCAATATAAGGAATTAAACCTTAGTCTTCAACTATAGCTAGTTAACGTGCTATCTACTGCACTATATTGCTAAAGATTGTCGCCTTCTACCTTATTACGAGG